CAGATGCCCTCAGGGAGAAGATACAGGGTCTCCTTATGTAAATTCAACCGGTTCAAATATTCCTTTATCCCTGTGTCGGTTAAGCTCATTACAGTTTTTCTCAAATGCTAAAACACAAAAGCCAATCCTCTAAATCAAATGACCAGTTGTCTAAACACATTTACTAAATCTAGCCATCATTTTCCAATATCATAAACACATTTCACATGAAGACACAATTCACAAAACACAATCCTCCGTTCTCATAAATCTTAACACATTTTTCCTTGCTAAAACACAAGTTGCAAAAGAACTCTGCTCATATTCTCAAATGAAAGCTCATGTGATGCAAAATGCTTGCCACAGTCAGCAATATTTGAACACAATGAACACACCTGGCGTCATTCATTACACACAACGACTCAAAATTGAAGACACTTGTTGCTAATGCTGTGACCACATGTATAAAAGCAAGTTCAGAGTGCACAGTTTGCTGAAGATTACAAACAAACACAATGGATGAAGGCAGAGTCAGGGGAAGAGGAATTCGAGTCAGAGGAGGGAGAAGAGCTGGCCATGGAAGAAGAGGAGCAGGCCAACGAGGAAGAGGAGAAGGTCCAGGAGGGAGAGCAAGACAACCTCGCACCATCATTACGGACGAGATGCGAGCAACAGTCATTGACCATGTCATTGTCCATGGCATGACAATGGCTGAAGCAGGACTAAGAGTCCGTCCAAACCTGAGTAGGTTCACCGTGGCCACCATTATCAGGGCATTCAGACAACACAACAGGTATTGTCAACACATGTTTCTTTCTTTAGAGTTGAAAGAATGCCACATAGAGGTGGGAGGGTTGCCATATTTACAGTGGCACAAGAAACCCTCATTGTGGATATGGTTCGTGAGAACAACCTCATTAGACTCCGGGAGATCAGAGACAAAGTCATTGCCGATAATGTCAACTTTGAGAGCATTGATGATGTCAGCTTGGCCACAATAGACCGAGTTCTCCGGCGCCAAAAGATGCGGATGAAACAGGTCTATAGGGTTCCCTTTGAGCGCAACTCTGCGCGACACAAAGACCTACGTTACAAGTATGTGCAAGTAAGTATACATCCATGTTCACAGTACAGTTAGTGGACATACTGTGTTGCTCAGTGGCCTACAGTACTTCTGGACAATACTGTGCTACCTGATTGACTGTTGTTCTGAACACCTGTGCACTTTCACATTTTCACAGAGGATATTACAGTTGGACGCGATGGCTAGACCTCATGAGTACCTCTTCCTGGATTAGGCTGGCTTCAACCTGCAGAAACGAAGGCAAAGAGGCCGTAACATCATTGGCCAAAGAGCCATCACTGAGGTTCCTGGCCAACGGGGGGGGTAATATTACTCTTTGTGCGGCCATGGGTTTGGAGGGGCTTGTCCACCGGCATGCTGTCCTTGGGTCTTACAACACCCAACGTCTCCTCACCTTCCTAGAGGAGCATTTATGTGATCATTTGGGACAATGTACGCTTTCACAGAACAAACCAAATCAGAGAGTGGTTCACCACCAACAGTAACCACTTTTTAAACGTCTGTCTGCCACCCTACTCCCCTTTCCTGAACCCTATAGAGGAGTTCTTCTCATCGTGGAGATGGAAGGTTTATGACAGACAACCATACACTAGAGAGAACCTCCTAAGGGCAATGGAGCTGGCCTGTGTTGACATCCCAGTGGAGGCCTTCGAAGGATGGATTCGCCATTCCAGGGCGTTTTTCCCACGGTGCCTGGCAAGAGACAATATAGCCTGTGATGTGGCCCGATGCCGCACAGTGATTGTGGTGTGTGTGTGGTGTGAATAAAGTAAATAAAAAACTTCACACCCTGATCATGTTTTCAAGAGTACTGTTGTGTGCAATAGATTCTGTTTTTGCATTGAGTTGTGTTACAGTAGTGTACATGCAGAATTTATACTCTTCATATGAAACTCACAAATCTAAATGCCTAATCCTCTGCAGAGATCTAAGAAGATCCATTACTGTAAAGTTTCTAAAAATATGCATTGGCAGTTATGAAACAAAGAACCTTCTCACAAATTGAGCATTGTGTTTTCAATTGTTTTGCTGTAGTGTGTAATGATGTGTATAGTGTTTACATTTTTGAAAGCTTCGAGCTGCTCTTTCGGTGTGAAAGTTTGAGTTTTGAAGTGAGAAGGTGTGGTTGTGTTTATGTAGCTTTAGAAAAGGGTGTTGTGTTTAGACATTGGGGAACATGGAGGAAACGTTTGTGAAATGTGTTTTAGCATTTGAGAAAAACTGTAATGAGCAAATGTAGGGAGGAAAAATGTTTTTAATGTGTATTGCAATTTACTTCTAGTAGTGAGCCCTAACCTCTTGCACTTTGGTCCCTATCTGGTTGCCAGTTATGTATCCTCTACTTTGTTTGGTTGTTTTTATGTTTTATGCTGTCTATATGTTTTATGTTTGCTTATGCAGCAGTACCCTGTCTCTAAACCAAATTTCTCCCATGGGAGACAAATAAATGAACTTGACTTGACTTGACTAATGCGTTCTGTCCGTTCATTTGCACGACAACAGTGTTTGGTGGCTAGAGAACGCAAACTTTGAAATATCGTTCCAAGGTGTGTGGGTTTTTTTTTCCAAAACGTTTTAAAACTTGCATTAAACATGCATTAAGAAAAACTTTTAAAAAGATCTCAGTGTAAACTTCAAAAAACGTGAATCTGTGAAACCGGTGACGGTTTGCACATGCATATCATGTGTTTATGACCGTTTGAATATACAGCGGGGGAAATAAGTATTGAACACGTCACTATTTTTCTCAGTAAATATATTTCCAAAGGTGCTACTGACATGAAATTTTCACCAGATGTTGATAACAACACAATGAATCAGTACATACAAAGAAACCAAAACAAATAAGCTCAGAAATTAAGTTATGTGTAATAATGTGAAATGACACAGGGAAAAAGTATTGAACACATGAAGAAAGGGAGGTGCAAAAAGGCATGGAAAGCCAAGACAACAGCTTAAAACTATTAGTAATTAAAAAGCAATCCAACCCCCTGTCCGTGCACATTAATAACAGCTGGTTCAGTCCCAACGGATGGCCTACAAAAAGGTCTCATTGCCAAGGTGTCACACAAGACACATCTCATGATGGGTAAAAGCAAAGAGCTGTCTCAAGACCTTCGCAACCTAATTGTTCCAACACATAATGATGGCATTGGTTATAGGCACCATTCTAAGCTTCTGAATGTTCCAGTGAGCGCTGTTGGGGCCATAATACGGAAGTGGAAAGACAATCATTTCACCATAAATTTGCCTCAACCACTGCTCCTCGCAAGATTTCAGATAGAGGAGTTAAAAGAATAATCAGAAGAGTTGTCCAAGAGCTAAGGATCACTTGTGGAGAGCTTCAAAAAGACCTGCAGATAGCAGGTACTGTGTTCTCAAAGAAAACAGTAAGTAATGCACTCCACCACCATGGCCCGTATGCACGCTCACCACGCAAGACTCCATTACTGAAGAAAAAAAGCATGTTGAAGCTCGTTTAAAGTTTGCTGCACAACATTTGGAAAAGCCAGGGAAATACTGGGAGAATTTAGTGTGGTCACATGAGAGCAAAATTGAATTGTTTGGATGCCATAATACACACCATGTTTGGAGGAGAAATGGCACTGCACATTACCCTAAAAACGCCATACACCTTGGTGTTAGCTCTTGGACAACTCTTCTGATTATTCTTTTCACTCCTCTATCTGAAATCTTGCGAGGAGCAGTGGTTGAGGCAAATTTATGGTGAAATGATTGTCTTTCCACTTCCGTATTATGGCCCCAACAGCGCTCACTGGAACATTCAGAAGCTTAGAATGGTGCCTATAACCAATGCCATCATTATGTTTTGGAACAATTAGGTTGCGAAGGTCTTGAGACAGCTCTTTGCTTTTACCCATCATGAGATGTGTCTTGTGTGACACCTTGGCAATGAGACCTTTTTGTAGGCCATCCGTTGGGACTGAACCAGCTGTTATTAATGTGCACGGACAGGGGGTTGGATTGCTTTTTAATTACTAATAGTTTTAAGCTGTTGTCTTGGCTTTCCATGCCTTTTTGCACCTCCCTTTCTTCATGTGTTCAATACTTTTTCCCTGTGTCATTTCATATTATTACACATAACTTAATTTCTGAGCTTATTTGTTTTGGTTTCTTTGTATGTACTGATTCATTGGGTTGTTATCAACATCTGGTGAAAATTTCATGTCAGTAGCACCTTTGGAAATATATTTACTGAGAAAAATGGTGACGTGTTCAATACTTATTTCCCCCGCTGTATATGTGCGCAGGCAAATTTCTTTACAAATTGACATCGCCAAATGACTTGTCTGCCCTGCATAATACAGAATTTTTAGTCGTTTCCGCAGATCCATGTGAACTGAAATAATTTTGCAATGTTGATGTAGTTGGTCTTGGTGGACTAGATCTGTATATGAATGTAAGTATGAACTTGCTATTGCCAATAGATACACAGACATGCTGCTGTGAGCATGTAAGATTTGCTGCTGCATAAATAGGCAGAGACATAAACCTGATAGCAAATCTAGACAGGTGGTGCTGGGGAGGAGGAGGTGTTCAGAGGAACTCTAATTACTAACTTGCAGCGAACATGGAACCAGACTATTTAAATGTTGAGCAAGCAATCTCATTGGCTTATATATTAGCCTACTAAAGTCAAATGTACTGTAACACAATGAATGAGTCAATGTAGTAATTAAAAAAAACTCACCTGCTATTGAGCAGTTCATACAGCAACATCCCTAAAGCCCAGAGATCTGCAGACAGGCCGTGACCTTGATGCAGAATGACCTCTGGAGGCTGATAACCCACAGACCCACAGAATGACCAGGCCCTGTGCAAAGAGGCCACCTTCTTAGCACAACCAAACCCTGTCTGATACAGTAGATAGAGAGAAACACAACTAAGTGTTAACCCCCTATCCTTAAAATGGCCAAATATTGCCTAAATCATCACAATCAAGTGGTTACAGGCTGCCATCTGGTTTAACTTTAAACATGGTTGAATTTGTATGTATTCAGCACCAGTTTAGCATATCCACGTTGGTCCAGTAGCACATTTTCAGGTTTCAGGTCTCTGTGAACAATGCCTTTGCCGTGTAATACACTAAGAGCCTCCAGAACACATGCTGCGTAGAAGCGAACAGCATCTTCTTCCAGTGACCCCCTGAAACATAAAATCACATATTAGTCAGTCACTGTCAGTTTAGACAAAGTCCCTTTCAACCACCAATGATATCTGACAACAGCTTTATCATACAAGATGCTCAAATAGCGTTAGAAAGCGTATTTTTCAGGATGGACCCTTCAATGCTCATGTGCAGTCCTAAGTCCTAACTGCTTCTTTAGCAACCATTGTGAACAGTTCTTAAAAGAAAAAATATTTTTCTTATTTTGAAGACTATTTAAAAAATCTAAAGAACCTTTTTACCATTATAAAGATCCTTTTTTGTGGAATGGAAAGGTTCCATGGACGTTAAAGGTTCTTCATGGTATCATAGATGCCTTTATTGTTAAGACTATAGATGCCGTCAAATGTCATAATTTACTCCTGATAAAGTCCTTCCTTACAATTAAGGGATTTACAAACACTTTGCGACTAAATCAGTTTGAAAGAATTGAATTGGACATCACTGTATGTAAGGCCTTGTTTACAGCTGGTATTAAGATGCGTTTTGGTCGATCGGATCACGAGACGAGGGAGACACATTCCCGTTTACACCTGGTGTTTTAATCCGTCTCTTCTGTCCACTTTCATCCACTTCTGTCCTGATTTCTTCGAGGGGAGGGTCTATGGGAGGGTAAATGTATGGGCTTTTTCAGATCTTTCAATCTAATGAACAAAATAAGCTTGCACAATTTACATATGAACGCGCCAGGAGATGACTAACATTGTGCTTGGTATGTTTTCCGTCTTCAAACCAATCTTGGGTCTTCAGCCGACAAAGTTTAAATCCCGACTGGCTAGCGCGCTTCCTACTCATTAGGTCAGTAGGTGGAGAGTAGACGGTCTTTTGTGGCTGTTCGAACACATTTTGATCACATGAGAGTTTACATTACGAAAGCAATCCGTACAAATGCGTTTTCGACAACCTCTGGAAGTGGTTGAAAGTGGACAAGCTCAAAATGTTTTAGACCCCGTTTACACCTGTATTTAGCATCGTCCACTTGTGATCCGATCGACCAAAATGCATCTTAATACCAGGTGTGAACAGGGCTTATGGGTCGGCTCCAGCATCCCTGCAACCCTACAGAGGACAAGCAGTTTGGAGAATGAATGTATGGATCACTGTATGCACCTGTCTCTCAGTAAAATCCACAGATCTCCCCCTTCACAAGCCTCCATCAGCATATACAGGAAGCGAGGATCTTTAAAGGTACAATGCAACCTGAGAAAAAAATCATAATAATCAAGCTTTTGAATCTTACATAAACAGCCAACAAAACATTGTTTTGATGTACAATTTAAATTTCATTTGCAATCAACTGACATGCTGATATGAAGAGAACATATAAAGTTCAAAAGTTTGGGCTCGGTTAGACTATTTATTTATTCTTTTTTAAAGAAATCAACACTATTATTCAGCAAGGATAGGCTACATTAAAATGATCAATAGTGACAGTCCTCTACTGTGTGCTGGTGCTTTTCAAATCTGATTAACCTTTTATGAAACGTCAATGATAAATAAGACGGTTCTCTGCTGAAAAACGGAAGACCCTAGGGCCTAGTGTATGTTCTGACCTTACTATAAATGGACTTTGGAGATCCATCAGGATGTGTTTCTCCGAGAGCATCCTCTCTCTTTGGCCTGGGCTCTGTATCGCCTGCTTTCTTATGGTCTTTAATGCAAACTTACAGCTGGGGTCACTCTTCAAAAGGACCTTGAGACAAAAAAAGAAGAAGATTTGGCTGAATTATAATTCATATCAAGTGTTTCATATCAATTATAAATCAGCAAGTTTTAAACTGAACTAGTTTATGATACTCACGAGCTGAGTGTGACTGTACTGTCCTTCCCCCAGATTACACAGCACTTGAAAACTGCTAGGAGACATTTCCCCAAACGCAGTCCCATCTTCCTCTGCCCTGTTTATTATATAGAGATCAAAATTGAATCATCACACTGGTGAAGTTTCATTTATTTCGGTAGATAATGTAAAATGACTTACTTCGATCTGGCCTTGTTGCTAGGATTGTTTCTAGCATCGTCTAAGCCTCCAGTTACTTTTTTGAAAAACCTAGATGTAGATGGTGGAATATAGCCAAGGTCAACTGTACAGCATATGTTTGAATTAGTTACTATGTTTTTTAGCCCACTATGCTGTTTCCATAGCATGAATGTCGGTTTATGCCTCACGGCTCACACTTACTCTTTGTCCATGACCAGACATGTCACATCGCCTGAGGCAAGAACACTCATCGACCTCATGTCGTCTCTAAAGAGCAAAGGAACAGATCTGAGATGTTAATGTTACATGATGCCTTCTGACTTGAATTTGAATGTTTCAGTAAAGCCACAAAACATTTAACATGCACGTTTGCTTTTCTGCTTTTCTCAGTTTTTCACACTATTACTGGTTTAGTTGGACCAATTTCCCAAACCATTAATTCAGTTCTTGAAAAAAAAAGACACATTTCTCAAAACGTTTTCACACACGTTCCAATTTTCTTGATGTTTTCTGCAAAACTCTGCACAAAAATGCCCTCATTTTGCACAGGTTGAACATGTTCTCATTCAGAAAACACAAATGCACGATATAATTAGCTCAAGTATCACACTGTGAACTCAAATTTCACCTATTTATCCATGTGTAAACATTAAACATTAAAAATGATGACACACCAATCAGAATCACAGGTGATTATGTGCTTTGGAAAATAAATCCTAGTGGTGGGAGACAAAGAGGAGAGGGAAAGAAAAATGAAGAGGACAGGGCAAAAAGACATTTGTTCCTGACGAAATACAAAGCACTATAGTTGACCATGTTCTTGAGCAGGAATGACCATGAGGGAAGTTGGCCTACAGGGTTTTTATATTACTTACACACAGTAAAATTACAGTAGCAGTAGTAGCAGTACTGTAGATGAGAGAACTTGGTAACGCTTCCTTTTACAGTACAGTACTTATGTGTACTTACAGTGTAGGCCTACTTACCTAGAAAGTACTGGCTAATATAAGGTAAGTACATGGGTTAGGGGTAGGTTCAGGGTTAGTACCTAGTTATTACCCAGTAATTATAATTACTATAATAAGTACATAGTAAGTACATGGGTAACAGGACTGTAAAAGGAAGCGTTACCGAGAACTTTCACTATTCTATGTACAGTAAATACTGTAGCACATGCTGTACACCCTCAAACTCATAATTGTTTTTAGTACATTTAGTATTTTTGCAGAACTGAGAAACGACTGGAGAGGAAGTCTTTTGTCAGTAGAGTAAGAAACTGCTCTAATATGGCAAATATGGTCATTACCAGTACTGTCATTTAATTTGGCAGAGGATGCTGACTTTATTTATTATTTTACTGTAATTGACAGTATACTGTTTTGTATTGCATACCAAGGTCATATTCAATTCTTTGGTATTTCAACGTTTTTTTTTCTAGTGCTTTTCATCTACTGCAAGACAGAAGTGTAAAGAAAAAAATAGTCTTAAAGCTTATTTTAAAGTGTCATTGTTACAGTGTAATTAAATATTTAAGTATGTTTAACAACATGTACTTACCATAGTGTTAGGGTAGGATTAGGATTTGGCTGAGGGTTAGTTGCATGTAATTATGCATAATTTACTCTTATTACTATGGTAAGCACATGTAACACATGTAACACAGTAAAATAAAGTGTTACCGCTTATTGTTGAATTTCGCTGTATCTACAGCCCTCTATGTCTGCTGTATGTAATAGACCAATAGATCAAACGACCCAGACCTGAGACGAGATGATGAGAACATTGATGCTGTTGTTGAGTAACCTGTACATTCGCTGTGTTTGGAAATAAAGCTTTTGAAAATGTGAGTATTTTACTGTGCATGGACTCTTCCCTACATGTTTTGTCAGTGTGACATTTCAAAGGTCAGGTTTTTGTCCAAAACAGCATCACTTATGTAAGAGGTATTTATTACAGGACTGTTTTGCCTTTCTTTAGTCAGGGTTGTCCCTGAAAGAGTAATCAGTCAGAGCTGTGATTTCACAAAGTTCCACATAATTTATCTGAAAACCGACTGTAAAGCGTTTGGTAGCAGTGTTTTGAATTAATCCCTCCAGTGTGTAACAAACAGTCATGTAGTCTGTGTTTTTGACAGTGTGAGTGTGTGTGTGTGTGTGTGTGTGTGTGTGTGTATTGTCTGAGGGCAAACTTTGAATCGGGATTCAGAAGTTAGCTGTTTGTACGGTTGGCTGTGAGTTTTTTAAATTGTGTGAAGATTTGAGAAAATGATGAGTTGTTCCCAGAATTGTGTTAGGGCAATCGAGAAAAACGAATCGGTTACCTAACGTAACCTCGGTTCTCTCTAGAAGAGGGAACGAGTATTGCGTAAGCTAGCTTACGCTGCAGGAAAGATTCATCTTTGCTGAGAGTTTGAAGCCAAAAAAATTATTTCATAATTTGTATCCATTGACAACGCAGTTCCTCTGCGGCAGACCTAGAGCAGGCTAGCTAGCAGCTCATTGGTTCGCTCAGAGAGAACTGCTTAAGCCTATGGGGGAGCGGGGCTGAACCCGCTGCCAATGAGAAGCGCCCGCGCGCTCATTGCATCATGGCCCGCCAGAATGGGCGTGGCTATGGTGTATATAACAGTCTCTCCCAGGCTTATATGTTGATTTATTTCAGCGTGAAGCGAAACGCTAGTAGCGCAAGCACGGCCGGGAACGCAATACTCGTTCCCTCTTCTAGAGAGAACAGGGACGTGCACAGGAATTTTGTGGGGCAGTTGCTCTGACCTGAAAAAAGGGCACTACCCCCAAAACTCACGGGCTATATGAAGGAATATATTCAGTTGAATTTTGCCCATACAAATTGCCTTATCTGATCGTGTTTATTTCCAAACGCAATGCCTCATATTATGGTCTTATTATTATTTATAAAGATTGCAAACGTCAAAGATGACAGGTTTATGATATACAACTTTGTAAACAGTATACAAAATGTATTAACAATATGTTAAATGTCACCAAAATACACATGAGAAAAAGAGTTCCTCATATTATTGTTTATTGTTTTTTAATTATTATTATTATTATTTATTTATTTTTAAATAAATAATCTGGATTGAATTGACAGATGGGGAAAAACTCGCTTCTAATAAAATAAAATAAAACGCTTAGATTTCGGAAAAAATACAATCCTTTTTTAACCTTTTGGCTTCCCGTACATTCAATTGTGCTTTTTGCTCATCTGGGCAACTACGCATGATTTGTAGTATGATTGCGTAAAGGGAACAGGAATTCCGGTAAGGAACAGAATCGACTGCTACACCCAGTGCCGATCCTGACCTCCCTGGGGCCCTAAGCAAAATTCTGCTAAGGGGCCCTCTGATGTCGTGAGCTATGTAAACCATTTGCCATTGCCACAGTCACACCTGACACTTCAGCACTCCCATCCTCCCATTAAACAAAACAGTCAAATAATAAGTACAACAATATAGAACAGAATGAGGTTCAAACACACAATATTTATTGAATAGAGTATTTTCTATGTAAGCAATAAGGTACGAGAGGCTGTGCTGTATCGTGAATAAGTAACGGCTGGAGGGCGTTGTTAGGCACGACGCGAAGCGGAGTGCCTGCAACCCCTTCAGCCGTTACTTATTCACGATACAGCACTTGCCTCGAGTACCTTATTGCTTTTATAAAACGGTTGCCACACAATAAAAATATTAAAGCCGAAAAATATGTATCTATGCAACTTTCATGAAGTAAAATCACTAAAAGCCTGCCTTCCGCTGGAAAAAATAGTCCCGGAACGTGAACAGCAACAGAAGTTACATATATTATTTCGCCAATAGATGGCGGCAAAGACTGTCTTTATGAGTGAGTGAGTGAGTGAGTCTGTAGAGAAGGCTTTTGAAAGGACTCGAACTTGTGATCACGGAGAAGACAGACGCAACTGACAGATGACTAACGTTATGCACGGAAAACCCCATGACTGTTAAAAGGACAAAATATGCAGCGGACATTCAAACGCATTTTTTTATTATGAATATAGGACTGACCTGAAGGAAAATGCTACGTCTACTGTAAATGCAGGTACACTCGCTTACTCGATCTCTCACAATGCTCTGCTCTAGCTTTAAATGAACAATATCAATGAGATGAAACATCTGTTTAAGTTGCTAAGAGTGGTTGCTAGGGGTGTTGTGTAGTGATACATAGAACCGTTGGGTGAAGCGGTCATAGCCGTGTTTTATCGTGAATAAAGCACAGCTATTGACCAATCAGAATCAAGGATTGGAACTAACCGTTTTATAAAGAATGTTAAGATAATAAGTGAATATTATTAAGTAAGTGAATATTAACGTAAACATAAATAAGAAGAAAATAATAAATAATAACCCTGAGCTTTGGCTTTTGGGATTAACTTTGGTTCTTTCTACAGCCTGGGCATTTTCAGCATCAGTATGATTTTTTTTTTTTATTATGCATGTTGAAGCAATTCTTGATTTATGGTTATTATTTACTGAGGGATGTGCATCCATTTTGACCAGTATGTCCAGCTAATCAACATTTTTAATTCAATATAGCCTATAAATCAATAGTCAATCAATGTCAAATTGTCAATACATTGCTTTCTATCTTGCATTATTAGTGCAGTTGTTTAGAGTTTTTAACTACACTGAGACTAGATAATCAGTGTCTTGTTTTGAAAGTATAATGTGTACTTTGATTGGGAGTGGCATCATTCACGTGCATGTATTGTACAGTATGTCTGGTCTCCACATATTTCTGCTTGAAAAATGCGAGTTTCATTTAGGCAACGCGCATATGAACGCACGATAACACACGCGACGCGGTTATGTTTTCCGAGCTGCAGTAAACAAACACCGTTGCACTTTGTCGTTTATCAAAATCAAACGTAATAAATAATTGTATTTTACTTACTCTCACTTTTGTCAGCCACAAAAGTGATGCAAGAGATGCACTGCCTGCCCAGCTAGGTTAGCAAGACCGAAAAACATCAAACTTTGCTAACATCAAACTTAGAGAGGAGAGAACACAAGTTTACCTGATTGTTGTTCCCGCAATTCACTCTCATGGTTTTTTTCTTCTTCCTCTTTTCGTGACCAGAAGGATAGTTTCGCTTCATTTTGTCGTAGATGTTGTAGCTACACATTTGACGGCGCGCTATGACTATGACACGAGATGGAGGCGTGGCCTTAAGTAATTTGCGTGGCCCTACGCCGGTCGCGTGCAGTCTATGGTCGCGTGCAGCGTTTGCCC